CAATAATTAACACCAGTAGCCACAGCACAGTAATTATATATTACATAAGGAAAAGAAGAAATCCTAATCAAGATGACAGCTTGGAACTGATTTAACCAATTTCCTTCACCAGCGAGTCTTATAATTGAAGCTTTCTTAGGATATTTTTCTAACAAAACCTGCGGAATGGAACAATATAATAATGTAATAACATAAACCAAAGAAAGACATTAGTTCTGAGTTAAAACATAGCTAATCAAAAGTTTGTACTTGGATCTTATGATGGAATAGAAAACCAATGAGATATATGGAAGAGAGACACCAATAGCCACTGCTCCAATGATCAGCAAAAAACCGTGCCCATATCCAAAAGTCATCCCGGCAACCCACATGGAAGGGGTAGAAGGTAAAAGCAGGGAAGGAAATACTGCAATGGAACCAAATACTAGAAGTGCTAGGCATTGATTTGATGAATGTTTCCCGCTCCCAAATTATAACTAGGATGATTTCCTGGAAAAGAACAAGTTATGCTCAGAAAACTAAATGATCAGGGAGGACAGTGATAATTGCTGAAAATGGCCAAACCGTATCTAGGCTAAGCGAAAAAGTTATAGTACTCATAAGCTCTGTAATACAATGAGAAACTAGTGCATGTTCGCCTTACCACACGGCACTAAACAAGTTAGAAATCTTGTTTACAGTACTGTCCAATCCCGTTCCGTACTTCTTACCAGATATGGTGCTTAATGTATTAGACAGAGCTTCAAATATCGACTGAAATTTGGACATCAATTAGAATGGATAAGCTGTAACAATGAAGTAACCAGTGTTAAACTGAAAATGACCAGCAAGCTAAAAGCTACAAACTCTTTCCGGCTAATTAACACAATTCTTTGGCTCAACAAACATTGATTAAGCTCCCTTGAGACAGAAAAAATTAAAATCTCCATTCGTATTAAATTCAATCTAGCATATATGATCATCAAGATAAGCATTCAAAGCTATTGTCTAAAATGAAATTCTAAAAGTCTGTTTGGTACAGATTCTCATTTTCTACAGTAAATCAATTCTCATTTTCGACCACACATTCTTCAATAAAATAATATTTTTCCATCACATCAATACTTTTTTCTTCTTTTTTAACCACACATTTCCCATCATATCACTATTCAAAAATCAATTCTTACCCCAAAAATCCCTACCAAACACACTCTAATTTTAATAGCTTAATAGATTAAGAAGAAAATACCCTAAATATAAAATAGGAAAGATTTCTTGTTCCATTCAGATGTCCAAAATCAATTATCCTCATTCACCAGAATCATATTAACAACTCAAATATTTCATTCCATTAGATATTAAAATTTCACATGATCAATCATAGAAAGCTCCTGGACAAATTATGTATGAGTAATTAACCTTATCCATGAAGAAGGGTCTGACCCATTTGAAGAAGACGGCACCCAACACTGCTAAAAATGCCACCACCAACACCAGCTTCGCCNATATTGATTGTGTTCTCTTTAAGAAGTCGAAAAGAACGAAAGATGAATATCGAATTCGTCTGAATGCGTCAATTGATTGCGTTCGATTGCTTCTACAACAAGGGCTTGCATTTCGTGGGCATGACATGTAGTTCTAAATATTTTTGAATTCTCATTTTTGACCCCACAAGACAAATGGTCTGGGTCCGCCCCTGCCTACAGGTCCCATCATCAAAACCTTCCTCCAAATTCACGTATTTCACAACCCTGAAATCCTCTTCGGCAGCATGGTAATTCATCGCCACCGAATCAAATTCCAGGTTTTTCACACCGATTCAAATTCTTTTCACCAACACGTGCAATTATTGCCCCAGGAAAATCAAAATGAACGACATGGAACAATTATACTCCCTCTGATTGAGGGGTTTTCAGTTTATCAAAATAACCGTATAAATTAAACCTTAACTCCTTTATTTTCCTTTCTTTAACGAAACCCAAAGGATTTCCGCAAGTAATCATAATCATACAATTTTCCTTGCAATTGTATATGTGCCTATCCTCATTTATTGTGACCTAGTTGAGCAACCTCTCTTTATTGCTTGCAGCAACGATCTCACCCTTTTCATTTGTGTCATACCCCAATAATTTCCATTTTTGTCAAAATGGTGTCACTTTCGCTTTGAGAACCTTTATCCAAATCAACATAAAATATTGAACTTTTTATAATATGGAGTCAAATTCAAAATAAAAAAATTAAGCTCGTTTGGGTACCACTTAAAACAAATAGTAACGTGTGACGAATATTTAACCCTCGTTTGATAGCATTTATTTTATTATAAACCAATGTTTTCTATAGTGGATGCGGCTCAAATATTATGATGTGTAATCATATCACTTCAAATCAATTTGTTTCTTCCAAATTTACCCTTTAAATCAATTTGTATCAGTAAATTAGATTTGTGTCAGTCAAGATAGCAATGAAAAATCAAATTCTCAACGGATGTCTGCATGAGAAAGAGGAAAATGTTGTCAAATGAATCGGCAATATTTAATTAATATAGCACTGCAGAAAAAATTAAAAATACTTTAAAATGCTAAAATAAAGGAGGTCAAATAGGGGCTTACTCACAAAATTCGTTCATAAAAAGTAGTTCGATGTTAATGGGATTGATTTTTATTTTTTTGGACCATTTATCTAAATAATATTTAGAAATGTCAATTGTGAACTTTTTGTGTCCAATCATTAATTACCTTTTCTTAATATTGTTTATGTCAGTTTTTTGTAACCTTTTCTGTCCTCAGCGACCTGCCATAATGACAAAGGTCAACTAATTGTGAATAAATCAAGAGAAAATCAAATCAAATCGTGTTT